TTCTTCCAGTAGCTGAAAAGCGAAAGCAAACATCTCACTATTCACCAGCTTGTGATTTTATCAAGGGTTTTCCATCACAGCAATTCTGGGTCTTACAGTGGCATGAGATGAGAGCGTAAGATAGCATCATTCAGTGAATGGATCAGTTTGTTCCTGACTACATCCAGGTGGATTCTGTTCATATTAGCTCATATAAGAAGGTGCTGTTAGGTGCTCTCCTAATAAGAGTTAGGATTTGTTTGCCCTTTCTAGTTCTACTGCATTTTTCCCACATAGCATCAAGCAACTAAATTGCCGTCACATTTTCAGGGTTAGATTTGCAATTGCTTGAGCAATCTGTGTGAATGTCATGACTACACATATAAGTCAAGCCACAGGGGAAAAAAATCCAGTTCCTTCATTGCAAGGGACTTGCACTTCACCGTGCAATCAGAGTAAGTGATACTATGAAGAAGGCAGGGAATTGCAAGACACAACCAAGCACCATTGGTAGATGAAAATCTGGCCTCTAATCTGGTGCTTGAATCCACATCTGAAAAGTGAGGATCACTGTGGGACATTCCCAGCTCCTCCTCACACACCTTGTAAGAGTGTTGTGAAAACAGAGAGGGGTATTTTTGGGTTCTCAGAGATCAGGTGGTTGATGGCAAATGTGTGTCATGCAGGCATGAGCTCTCTGGGATTCTGCACAAAATGTTTCCTGTTTGGACAACAGGTGAGCTGCTGTTATTCCAGTTATGGCATTTCTTGGTCCACTCAGTCAAATTAGAGCTTTGGAGTTGAGTATGTGTGCCACAAGGAGACCTTGTAGAGAAAATTCAGCTATCTGGAGTGGTTGTAGTTCACACTGAAATAATAGCACAGGGCCCTCAGACTTCTGTGCAAATGTATTCTCTAGGGAAAAAAGAAAGAAGTGTAAAAACAGGTGTGCGTGCCTTCAAGAAAGTAAGCGAATGAAACGAAAGGGTAAGAAATAGTGAAAATTTTCTGTGGTTGCAGTGGTTTAGTATGAGATGGTTCATTAATTTGGGGGGGGGGGGGGGGTTTCTTACAGAGGTATAAGCAGTCCATGGATTTCAGAGGGGAGGGCACTTTTCAAGCTCTTACGGAGCAGGATGAAAGCTGCTTTACCCACTAAGGCTTTGTCCTGTTTGAAGCCTCTGGCTACTATCAGAGACAAGATCATTACACTAGATAAGTTGACCTCAGCCTAATCCAGTTCAGCATGTATTTCCCTGTGACACACACAGACGCTGCCACAGTGAGAAGGCTGGAATATCCTGCTCTGAGCATGCTGTGTCTGCATTTGCCCTCCCTGATTTGAGAAAGCTGTGTCTGGCTTGTCAGATGTGAGCTGGAGGTTTTCATAGGCTCCTCACTTACACTCAGCTGCATATTTCTTGGGGGATAGGGAGGGCAGGCTTTGGTTGTATGACAGCTGCAGCAGCCACTACTCCCCTTCCCCCTATCCCAATCTTTGACATTAAAAAAAAAAAAAAAAAAAAAGGCAAAGCTGTGATTTTAGGGAAAGTCCTCCAAGGACACACTTGCTATTGAGAGCTCTGCCAGCAGAGAGAAACTTCTCAAAGTCTAGTTTTCACTAGAATGAAAATTGTATTTTACAGTCCTACAAGTAATGTTTGGATGAATGAAACCCTTGCAGTGGTTTCCCTTTGCTATAGGGATTTGCAAGGAGGGATAGGATCAGAGCTAGGCACTTTGTCACCTACAACAGGATGGTGACCAGGAAAGGAGCCCACAAGAGGAGAGGGCTGGTTGTGTGCAGGACAGAGTGGGAAGGGGCAGGTAGCTAGTGTCTGTATGAATTTGTACATGAAGGCAAACTGAGAAACTGGAAATGAGAATGGCAAACACAAATTGAAGGAAAGGAGTGTGATAAGGGTAGCAGTAGCCTTTTCATTTTAATTAAATGTATTCAGTTGACATCATGCAGGAGGATTTCAGCCCACGCAAAAGAATGATGATGATGTCCTCAGCGCTGCGATGTGGGGATGAGGGGTGGAGACTCGGTGTCTCCCTGCAGGGAGGCACAGCATGTCTGTGGGAAGGCAGGGCCCTGCGGGAGCCCGAGTCCCACCTACACTGCGAGGCAGCATGACACACCGCTGCCTGCTGGGTCCAGGCTCGCTTTCACCCAGCAGCAATTTGTGGTGGCATTTCCATTGAAGTAACTCTGACGGAGCCCAAACAAGGATTATGCAACTTCAGATTAACTTCTAAAAATGCAGGTGATCCACTGTGCCTACTTAGGAAAACTTAGCTTCTAAATTCAAACAATATTTCAGGGATAAGTCAGGAACTGAGACAAGGACAAATTTGATTATGTTTCGAGTAAGTAACCAAGTGAACTTCCTACAACCACCCGCCTCCTGGGCCTGGCAAACAGTTTGTTTGCCTCTACCACTGAAAAGCCAGGGCCAGTGATGGTCAAACAAGGAAGGACAGTTATTTTCCCCATAACTAATTTTATTCAAGATGGGCTGTGGACTTGTGCAACTCATTTCCCTGTCCTAGTGTTTCATAGTCTAACTATATTTAATGGCCAAATAATTTGATAGAAGAAAGTCAGCTGGGGTTGCACTGGTTTATTTCCTGACACTCTATATCCCACTGTCTGGAAGGTTCCAACACAGAAAGCACTGCATCTTTACTTTGAAAAAAGGAAGCAGTTTTCTAGGGGGAGAGATTAAAGGTAATAGATTTTCTCCACCTTCCAATTTCCTTTCTGCAAACAAGAGTAAAATGTTCAGTAAAATCTATTTGCATCTAAGCAAATTATATGTTGGCAGGTTTGAGAGTCATCCCTACATGTTTTTCAGAAGGAGACATCAAAAGCGAAGTGAGATAGCCCTGTTCCATTGAGCAGGCATGTCCTCAGCCTGAACTCAAGCAGGACGGTCACATGAGAATTCAGTCAGGCATCTCCTGACTTGGAGATGTTCTTCCCTTTGCAGTTTCATCTTCCACACTAGATTGGATGGGATTTATTCACATCCATGTTTTTATAAAACAAGCTCTTTAAAAAGCTGTATACATTTCTTACCTCTCTGTCCTCTCCTCTTTCTTTCCCTGTGGTCTTATATTAAAATAACTGAATTTTCTAGCCACAATTTCAGTTCAGAAGTTTGGCAAACTAACTTTCCCAAAGTCTAGCTCCAATGTTGACAGAATTTATATATAGACAGAATACTGAATTAAGTCTCACTCTGTGTGATTCGGAGAGGAGGTTCAAAGGTCCTGCAGGCATTTTGATGAAAAAGATGATTAAATTCAGTGGAGAAAACTTCACTTTTAGTGACTGAAAATTTTACCTCATTTCTGTAACTCACAAGATTTGTGTAATCCTTTCGAGCCCTTTAATTCTCAGAACCAGAAAGGATTTCCAGATTTTATCTATTCAGAAGAGAAGGTGAACAGGTGTCTTTTATGAAACATGTTTAGCTGGGTCATACATTCGCTTTGTAAAGCAGCACGGAACTTTTATTCCCTTTATTGCCACCTAGTGGACACTGTGCTCTCTGCATTGCATCACTCGCAGGAGCATTTCCATCTGGGAGCTTATCCAGCTGTGCAGATGATTACACGGTTGAAATAAGAGGCCACTCATCATGCAAGTGTGCTTTGTAAGATATAGCAAGGTCTTGTTAGGTCAAGAGATTAGACTGTAAGGTGCAGAGCGGCACAGGTGTTCCTGAGAAATCTGTCACTGAAATCAGCAAAGGGCAAAGTACCAGGGTACAACGAGCTAGATCATATCCTGGTGATCTCTCAGGTCACTGATTATTCATGATGGACAAGTGCTGTACAAACAGCTTGCTTACAGTCGGGCAGAAACAAAGCTATAAGTCAACATCAATATAGGTAGTATGTATTTGCCTCATCTGGGAGAATTAAAGATTAGTTTTGTAACATTTTAGCAAAAAATAACCACATTAAGATATATTACTCAAGAAGTGGTGTTATATTGTGGGAAAAAAAAAAAAGCCACTGATTTTCCCAGCCCCCACAATTTGTCCTCATCTGTAGCATTCCTTGGGGTATTATGAGTCTCTGTAAGATGTTATTTGAGATGTCATTTGGAAACATTTTGAAGTGTCAGTTTGGATTTCCAAAAAGTACCAGAGTAATTCATTCTGGAGAGACTTCATTCAGAACCCTCATTTCGACTGCACTGAGAGTTGGATTTTGATCTGTCTCTTGTTCCTTTGATTTAATTATTATTTTTTAGCCTTTTCTATGTTTTTCAAAACATAGTGCCTTTCCTTTCAGCATTTTGTTAGATGATCCACACTCAGAACTTCTGAGTGTCTAACAACATCCAAGCCTCTTTGTATCAAAGTTCTGCTATTTCCAAGCATTTTGGCAACTGAGAGTACCCACGCTATGTGTTTATATCCATTTGTCTCTCCCTCCCTCATCAGCAGTCTTTCACTAGCATTCCTTCCTGTGAGGGCAAGGATTTCTCTTGTTGTCATCCTGATGTACTTCATGCAGCCTCATCCAAGCCTTTGCTGAAGCAGTGCCTGTGATTCACAAGTTCTTTATGGTGCTGGGAAGCAAATGAAGGTTCTTCTTTCAAATTACTTGAGATATTATGAATATCAACAACCCATATAGAACTGGTGGCAATTAGCCTCAGTACTAAAGCAAAATGGTTGCATTTTCCCTTTAAATAAAAACATATGTCAAGATCTGTAGAAATTTCCCAGGTAGAGTACATAACTGGCAGCGTTTTGAAACTACTTTTCACAAGATTGCATTCAGTCAAACTAAATCAAACTAAATCAAACTAATACAGTCAAACTAAAGTTATTGATTCTAGCCTGCTAATAAAGGAATTTTATCTTCAGGATACGTTGTTTTTTTAATGTTGTCTTTTTCTCTACGGGGGGAAAAAAAAAAAAGAAAATAACAAATTTCTTCAAAAAAAAATCTGTGCTAATATTTTCCTTTCTCCTTTTACTTGTTTTTAAATGAAGATATGCAGAGTCTTGAGAAATTATTGAGAGATGCAATAATATATGGCCAGCCTCGAAGCCACAGAGCATGGAGAAAAATTATCATCCTTGTGGAAGGCATTTACAGGTATGTGCATTTTAGATACATGAGTGCTCTTTATTGCTTCTGAGAACACAATGATACGTTGAGTGAAGCTAACATTGGTACCTGAATGAAGTCTGAAACGAATGGAGGTTACGTAGCATCTTCAGTGATCCTGTTAAAACATTAACTTCCATTATGACGGTGTGAACCCTGGCATAACTTGCTGCAGTGAGATCCTCGGTTGTTTTGAATGTTGATTTAGCAAGTCACAGTGAGAAGCATATAGTGTGAACAGGAGATGCACTGTGAGAGTAAGGAGGACAGGGTTTGGAGTAATACCAGAGAGAAGGGAGCCAGAACTGTTCATTCACAGGATGTGACGTGGTTTAGGAAAAAAACAGTAAAGTCTGCATGCGGGGATTATTTCATGTGGGCTGAACTGTAGTCTGTACACATGGGCAGATGGTTACGCCGTGTTACTGAGGAATGCTAGTACAGTTTAGTTGATTAGGTTTTTCATAAGAGATCTTTCACAGTCTCATGTCATTACAACTTCATAGTCAGCAGCACTTTCTTTTTACCGAACGTTCTCCATCTGCACAGAGAACAAATTAGTCCTTATCTAAACACCTGTCACTCAGAGCTGAAACAGGTCAGCAGCAGATCAGCTGATCCAAAACAGGCTGAACGTCCCCTTTCAATCAGAGTAAACAGAGCAAAACTGCAAATAAACATAGCTTGGCACTACTAAAAGAAAGTCTCAATTTAAGGACTTTGATCACGCAGAAATTAAGTCGACCACCAACATTTTACTGACAAATATGCCTTTTGGTTACATGGCCCAAGAAAATGCTCTAGCTGCTGAGTTTTGTTCAGTTTAAAATCCTTTACTCTGGATATTTACCATTACGAAGAGAGAAGTTAGATTGGTGAGGCATAGATCCACTTAAACATTGGGGCAAACCCCCTAGCTGATAGTTGCAATACTTGCAGCTGCATTTCCAGATGTATGTTTAGTATAAAGCTTTGTTTTCCTCTGTTTTTTGTAGTTGGATTTCAAAAACATTTCCTTTTCAGAAGTCTGCACATCTATCTGTTAAGATGCTAAATAAAAACATTCTAGGCTTCAGAGAACAGCACCAAAAGGAAACTTTTACTTTAGATAGGAGTTGGTGGTGATACCTACATGGTTCATAAATCACTGCTTTTCAAAGAGATTTCACAGTCAGATTAATTATATTTCCCTAAAGGTTTGTTACTTTCTATTGATTGCCAGAGAAATACCAGGCAGACAGGGAATAACAGCATAACAGTTCTAAGACCACTCAGGTCCTGAGTGTCAAAGCTTGTGAAAGGCATAAAGAGAAAAAATAAAGAAAATGAATAAACAAACAAATAAAAAACAAAAGCAAAAACAGAGCTCAGCTCTCTAATATTCTGTCACTGGAAACCAGCACCAGCAGTAGTCAGGTTGGTTGGTTAGTTGTTTTGGTAGTCTAAGCTGATCAGAAATTAAAGATTGTGGTTTGGTTGCAAAGCATGTCTGCTCTGGCTTGAGGGAGGATACCACCACACCCCTCTGTGCTGTGTCCCTGCCATCGACGCCAACCCGAGATTCACGCAGCTGATCTGTCCTCATTGCACTGCTGGGAACAGACTCACCAGCCATGTAGTCTATGTAGCTAATAACACTTCCTATGCAAAAGAAAAAGCTGGAGAAACACACTCTAGAAATACACTTACTTCTTTTGTGTGCATGTTCTTTCCTTTCTTGGCCCATGATTTTTGAAATAGACTAAAATTTTCCAGCCCCTATGTTGGCTATGTTAGTTCTCTTGAAGATTTGCCAGATGCCAAATGAACATTCATCTAGTGGATTTAAGAGGAGGCAGACTGTTGTTAATGCATTCTTAAGACTGTTAATATTGCTTTTTTTTTTTTTTTAAGGAATTAAATAAGTTTTGCTTTGGGGACAACTAATACAGAATTTAAATAACTTGGTCAGAGCCATTCTCCAAGTTAAAATATCCTGACTTGCAAGTTTGACTTGGCAAATTTATACAGAAATGCATTTTCCAGAGATGCAAAAGAAATGCTAAGCTTTCCTATTTAAAATAAATATTGCTGTATGGGACACTATAGTCTTAGTAAGGTAAAGTTGATGGTATGGAAAAAAAAATTGCCTAGTGTTTGCATTAGGGGTATGTTAAAGTATTTACGCTGCTCGTAAGCCTGGACTCACTAGCTGGCAAAATTTGAAAAGGGCCATTGTTAGCCAACACGAACATTTCTGGAAGCCAGACTTGTGTTTGAAACCATAAGCCACAGATTTTCTTTGGTTACAACTGAAGGCAGAATTGGCCTTTTGGCTTGGGAAGCACCCAAGCTACATGTCAAACAAATAGCAATAAGTATATGATTGTTTGCTTTTAATGTATCTAGCATCTTAAAAGAAAAATCATAGGAAGTAAATTTAACTGCTAGTGAGAGCTGGTTCTTGACTCAGAATAGCCTAGGAGGAAATGTATTTCCTTTTTGTTCCAAATGGGGAGACGATCCAGCCATCAGTCTTCAGCTCAAAATGCATGAACAAGTTTTGGCCGTGTCTAACGCACAAATTAAAGTGACTTGCTAAATCATATTTCTGTTATTTAAATATCCAGCTAATGTTTTTCTTGGCTTCCACTATTTCCAGTTCAGGATTAATCAGTTATTATGTTCTTACATGGTTTCTGGTAGACTTCTGCTCTCTTGCACACATATTTACCTAAGAGTCAGGTAGGCTGAGGACGAGGGAGGAATTTATAAGGTATCAGAAACCCATCAAAACAAATGATCTGTATTTCCCCACATTTGATTTGAGTGTATTTTCTTCCAGCTCAGAAAACAGCTTTCTGCTTAACTGGACATTATCCAATTCTTTTTCACATGCAGTAGAAGTTCTTTGAGTTTCAATAACAATACCATAGGAAATTTATTAGGGTTGTTTTTTTATTTCCTGGGATTGGATGTTAGGACTTTAGAAAAGAGTGGGGTAACATTTAATGTCCTTGGCCAGGGACCAGCGTTAAAGGTCAACATTTCTGTCATTTCAGTGTATGGCACTGTATGTGAGGGCTGTTGGAGTTTCCTTAAACTGTTACTCTAAACTACAAAACAAAGATTGTTGTATGAAAGCCCGAGGTTTATGTAAGAAAATAATATTAAAATAAATTAAAAATGCAGTGCACATAGTTTGGGAGTAATAGGTCAGGAATGGAGGGATTTCCCAATTACAAATCAACCTGAAAGGGGAACAGGTAATTTTTCAAATGTTGAAAGGACTGTAATGCTGGTGCATATATAGAGAAGTTGAGTGACGGAATTATGAAGGAGATAATAGGTTGAGTGTTGGTAGATTACTTTTTCTGACAGAAAAAAAAAAAAGATTGAAACTATGTTACTATGGTAGATTGTTGCAAACTGTTTTTACTGATAAGTTTCAGAATAAACTGGACAACACTTGTCAGAGTATATATCCTGCCAGGAACAAGCTTGTATTCCAAGAGAGATGGCCTGCACAAATACTCTCTCACCACACCTGGCTGTAGAATTCATCAGCTGCTTCAGAAAGACTCTCAGTGGCTTGTTGGGATTGAACCAAGCCTCAAAATTCAGTGATCCCAAAATTTTGAGTTACGTCCTCATGTCTGAAAGGAGATTCAAACTTTGTGCATACTGAAGCAAGCTCTTCTGCCCACCCTCTGAGCAAGGAAGATGAGGGTAAGCTGCAGTCTAGAAGCTGTACATCCCTGCAACCAAGCTAATAATTTTTGCTGTGAGACAGGATGTAATACCACATAATGCTAATGACTGGCATGGGCAGACCCAGCTTATATTCATCTGCACACAGCTCTTTAGATGTGCCTGAGCAGATCTGGAAACAGATTAGTAGTTTTGTGCAAGTGACACAGCCAGACTGAGACAGAGGCACTGCAGTTCATTTACTTCCAGCTCTCTGATTTAAACTCAGTTGATATCAATTTTTACTGAAGGACTCAGTAAACTTTCCACTTGGACTACCCAGGGAGACACATGAAGTGAGTTTTATCTCTGAGCAATTCTAAACTGAGCGGTGTTTGTATCACAGATCATCTCCCAGAGTCAAAAGCAAAACCAGGAATAGAGTGCCACAGAACCAGCTCTCATCTCTGCCGTCAGGAGGGCTGAGGCCTGTTCGCATAGCAGCCCAGGACGTACACACAAAACCAGCAGTGCTCTACCTGCCCCAAGGATGCTTCAGGCCCTTGTTAGGATCTCTGCCAACTGTTGTAATGTTCATGTCAGCCAGTGTCTTTCAGGAGAACTAACTCAGCACTGAAAATGACAAATACACAGTAAATCAAGCTTTGTATTTTTAATTTACCGCTCTTGTTCTCATCTTTTTGAAGAGAAAAGCTGTTTTTCTCACCTGAATCTCCATGAGCCATTCTTACGTGATGCCCGTGTGAATGTGGAAAAACTATCCTTCTTCTTTTCTTCCCCAGCTATTTCTGGAAGACACAGTGGGGGATGCTTCTTTGTTCCCTGCAGTGGTGCTCCTTGGCCCTGTACTTTCTCTCTGAGCACTTAGCCATCCTGCAAGCTGACCAGATGGCCAAAACTGCCCTCCCTAGCACGTGGGATGCTTCATACCCACACACACCCAGAAGCTTGGTCTAATTTTTAGCTGACTAATGGTTTGACTTTGGGTCATGTGAGGACTGTGGGTTCTGCTCTTATACTCATTAAGAAAATACCTGTGGTGGTTCAAGTTGCTTCTCCCGGAGCTGCAAAGAGCTGCTTGACTGCTGGAGGGCTCTGTCCCCAGCACGGGGTGACAGGAAGGAAAGCTTGGTCTTTGAGAGCTTGCAGTGCAAGCCTGTCTGCCCTTTGCTGCAAGAAACTGTGGTGCCATAAATGTCCCCATGGCTGCTTCTTCTATGGCTGGACAAGACAGAAAGGCAGGATCTGCCACCAATCACCTGGCACCCAAAATTGTGCCTACAGGTGGACACAGCAAGGCTCTCTGAACCTGATCAGCACGGGCAATCCTTGTCCATGGCTGCTCCCCAGTACTGTTCATTGAAACTAATGGACACTGCTGATTTCAGGGAACAAATATCTCCTAAACTTCAAGCTGTTTACAAGCTTACTCAGGAGAACAAAAGAAAAAGTATAAAACTTGTAAAACATTGCCAACACATCATTTCCCTTTTGTGGTACTGACCTTCCAGCTGCGTAGATCAGCTTGAGTGACAGTCAGAAGAGTCTGTGAAAGCCACTGGCCCAAGATCACTAAACTGCCAAGAGGTTGTATTGAACACGCTGCTCATTTTTACATGCCCTCTGGGAGCAAATGTGACAGTTCTACTCACCTGAAACTGCTGTAGCACATGCCACTAGATAACACAGAATGCTTGGCCACAGAATGCTGCTTTCTGGGGTGCATAGTGCACTCTCTTTGGGTTTGATAGAAAGTATGTAGCATTTAAGGCCTGCTCACTAGAACTGATGAAGAGAATGCGTGCAACTTGTTATGAAGTGAATGCTGAGTGCACCAAAGCATATCCAAGCACTACTTTAGTTGTCCCACAAAGGTTTTCAAGACATAATAGTCTTCACAGCAATACTATTGATACTTCATCTTTATAGAATTTGAGGGCATTCCCATTGTTTCCCAGAGCTTTCATTCTGTTGTAGAACTCTCCTGTGCCTTCTAAGTTACTGATACAATTACCAATACAGAAGATATATCATCTTTTCTTGTTTCTAGAGCTTTCTATACACCGTTACGAGAAGCTTAGAATATTTCTGTTTCCTATGTGACCTTAAGAAAATAAACAGAAAAAGAATGGAAACATTTTTCCATTCATCTGGTAGGAGTAACAAGATTGGGTTTGAATTGTCTTTTCTAATCCCTGATTCTCTCCACTCTGAAGACTGAGGCTGCTCTGAGCCATGGCACTGTCTGTGCATTTCATGTGGGCCATATTAGAGCCAATTCCTCTGCCCCAGGGTGATTTTTCTCTAGATCTGTTATCCAGAAATGTTGACATAGTAGCAGTAGATGGATGAAGGACCACTGTGAATTATAGCAGTTCCTTATAATTCATTACAATATATATATTTTTTGCAGTCAGATGTAATATGCTACTTTGGTGAATATCTTCCCTTCATTTTGTACTTTTCCTTCTCTTTTATGGCATGTTGGCAATTTCCAAACGTTCAAGGACTTTTTGGCTATTTTTATTTGCTTGAATTCTAAAATTATTTTACTTTTATACTTGTTGGAAGATGCTTGCAGTGTTTCTTTGAACTGTAAATACAAATGGAGTTTGCAGAAGATCTTCCATGGGGTAACTGCACTATGCACTTAATGCCTATGCTTCTTTGGCAGTATTTTAAGGAGAAAAGAAGATACAGGATTTGTTGTTTATCTGTGATTCTCTCCACAGCATGGAAGGGTCCATTGTGCAGCTGCCAGAGATAGTCTCCTTAAAGAAGAAATACAAAGCCTACCTCTATTTGGACGAAGCTCACAGCATCGGTGCAGTGGGAGCAACAGGACGAGGAGTTGTGGAGTACTTTGGTATGAATCCTGATGATGTTGACGTATTAATGGGAACATTCACAAAGAGCTTTGGTGCAGCTGGAGGATACATAGCTGGCAAAAAGGTAAAAGGAAAACACAAACAGGAGGGGGAAATACTTTCTCATTACATGAGATGAACTTTTTTATCTTTTCATATAGACTGCTTTACACGAGCACAATTCTACAGATAGTGCCACTTTTGTCTAAATCCCAAATGAACATTAAAAAGTGTCAGAATTTCTTATTTTTGTCTCATGTTCATGTTACATAATTTGCTTGGGTTGGGTATTTTCATGCCACCCTGATGATTTTTGTTTGCTTTGGAAAAGTTTAAAATCTTTGTGGTTGTCTAAATATACCTCACTACATTAATTTTCATGCAGACTGCTTGCTACTTTATTTCCTGTTTGTAAACAATGTATGGAGCAAGATTGAGAAATTGAAGCCACAGTTTCATCCACTGATACAAAATTCCTGAACAGTTGTGGATTGTCATAGCTGCATTTTTAGGATGGAGAAAGAGGATTTACTTCAGGATCTCTCGCAATAGCAACCTCTTTGATCTCAATTTCTCCACATGCATTGACAAAACAACCTCTTGTCAACAGAAAGTAGAGCTGAACTTGTTTTAACAGGGAGTGTAGGAGAAGAGAAAGTGTAATCAATGCCATTGTGAAACATCATCATTTTTACTGCTTAGCAAAGATGTCAAGTAGTTGCTGGTTTTTTACCCTCTTCATACCCTCAAAAATACAGGAATGTATTTCTAAAGTAGTTTACTGAATGAGGAGATAGCCTAGTCAGACAGCTCATATGCATATTGTCAGGAAGGTAGGAAGTGTAGAATAAAAGGGATGTAAGAAAGTGTGAAGCATCTATTTCTCACCATCTTTGGCAGATTTTGCACCTGGAGATCTTAAAACTACTGTACAGACTACTGTAATGCATAAAGAATCAACTTCCTTTTGTTTGCTTCCTGAATTTATATCTGAAGATTTGACTTTTACAAAGGAAAATTGGCTAATAAAGCTAGAAATGATAGGATGCCTGAACCTCTGAAGAAACATCTATAGCAATTCATCATCTAATCCTTGGAAGTTTTCTTAAAGGAAAGTGGTCACTCTTTTCACACCTGGTGTATCACTAAGCTTTGCCTCAGGCTTCTGGGCCTTGGCAGCAGCTGTTCACCTACCTTCATTTATGCAGCCATAAACTTACAGGGGTTCTTTTTGCTGGGTCAGTAAGAACACAGAAGCTTTCTCAGCTGCTTGGTTAAACCCATAGGATTACAATTGCAGTGTAGCAATGCAACAGTGCACAACATATATAAAGTTAAATAAATCTTTTTTCCTAGCACTGAAGTTTCAGCATAGATTTAAGCAACTTTTATGGCAATAATTTGTGTCAGTATCTTTATTTTCTGGAGGCATTTTTTTATCAAAGCATAGTTTCAAGCAGACATCATCTCTTTCTCACTACCATGCATTTAGCTTTTGGTGCAATAACAGTTACTCAGCAATTTACATATGTTCATAAATATGCACTGTTGTAGTAGTGGTAGTCTTAATCTAGTTCTGAATTCCTACTCAATCCCTGCATTCAGGAGATACTGGTACTTTAAACATGTAGTTTAAAGTTTAGCAGTGCTTTTGTTAGGATCGTGGTTTGTGTTCTTAGATATGCAGGGAAGTGTTAAAGCAGCTCTACAGATTGTAACATGACTGGACCTGTCACACTAATAGGAAGTTTATGTTGTAAGAAGTGTGTGTGCTAATAGCCAAAGACAGATTCCAGTAGGGCTACTTTTCCTGCATTAGATCTTGTGGCAGGGAAACTGTGCTGTTGTCATGTAAGTTTTATTTCTTCCCATTCATGGATGGACTGAACAGTATTTTAAAAGCAGCTCTTCGTTGGCCTTTACATGATTTTGGCTCCTTTATAATGTCTCAGCGCATACACGTTGTTTTATTTCAGCTGTAATTGCCTCACTTAAATTGCAAAGTGCTTGCACTTGCCTAATGTTTCTTCAGGCTGTGTATTAATGGGAGCGGCCAAGAAAGTAAACAGCTGGTGAAACCTTCTCTTTTTTCTGCACTTTCTCACTCTGTGTTAGTTAAAAGGGAGATGTGATGTCCAGGCACCTCCAAGTTCATTCATACTTTGTTTCCCTTGTCTCAGGGCCTCGTGGACTTTTTACGAACTCATTCTCACAGTGCTGTGTACGCCACATCTGTGTGCCCACCTGTGGCAGAGCAAATCATCAGAGCAATGAAGTGTCTCATGGGGTTAGATGGAACAACGCAAGGTAAGCCACCCTCTTTAGCCTGTCCATTATTTCAGTTACATCTACTGGGTACAGATGCACACAGAAGGAAACTGAGAAGGTAATGCAATACAAAGTGCATCATTTTTACTGTACAATTAATATCTAGATTATCATCTTGCTAGGTGCAATCAGCTATACTACTTTTTCCACAATTACATGCAGCAGAGATGGACATACTCTGAATTCTGACTCTAGTCTACCACTTATAGTCATCAGCTTTGCAGTAACAAATAGAAGAAGTACAGAAATTATCCTTTGAGTTTGCAGTAGGTGTTTGGAAATGCTTGCCTCTATGAGTGCTGCCACTTCAGCTCTGTATAAGTATGAACCTTCAAAATGGCAAGCATCTGAAGTATGGCACAGAAGTTCCACGTGAGTGTGTTGGATGTTAAATTGTGGTATGAGATGATGGTTATAATAGCTCCCACCTTACAACAGAATTGGATATGGTGTCCTCGAACTAGTTTTGAAATGTGTTTTGTCCACCTTCACTTCACACCTCTCTCCTGCCTGCCCCCCGCGCCCCCCCCCCCCAAAAAAACAACCATGTACGTGGCATCTTTACAAAATGTTATGTTTATATATATTTGCTGAAGTTGCAGATGCAGGTACAGTCCAGCATTCTGTGTAAGATGCTTTCTGTGCAGCACACAACAAGCAATACCGTGATGTATTTCCATCTATATGTACCGTGACTGTTTGTAAGTGATATTGATATGTAATCAATACATTAGTTCGTACCTCAGAGAAAAGCTGGTGGTTTTTGAATTTGTATGGTCTTTGTCAGCAATACCTGAGTGTCACATCATTGTGTGATTTGCAGGTGCAGATAAGACTCTGCTGTGAATTGCAGTCTGTTTTATATTAGCCCAGCAGGGCTGTGCTGTTTTCTCATTCCAAGCGCAGGACTAACAGCAATTCTGTATTAGTCCTCCCTGGTAGATTTAAGTGGGGGAAAGGTGGGGTTGGAAAGGAAAAAAAAGTATGTATGAGGATGTAAGTGAACACTGCACTGCTCTGCATTATTCTTCTGTGGTGGCCTAGAAGTTGGTTTCCTGCCATGATAGATACAAGACTATTGTGATGCTTATCACAGCCCTTCAGTGAGGCCAGAGTTTACAAGGTGCCAGTGAATGAAAGAAGGGACACAGAATCCAGTTTCAGTGCCAAATTCTTCTGAGTCCAGTAGTGAAGTGCTGCAAAATTCCAGTGCATTGTGTAGACCATGAGGAAATGATGCTTTTGCCATTTTGACAGAGAAGGCAAGTTGGAAACAGTACTTACCCTCCTCAAGTGGAAAGGTTAGTGCAACGTATTCTGATGTCTACATCATGCTCCTTGTAAGAGACCAGGCTCTGACATGTTTCTTCTGCCTTGGGAATTGTGTGCAGCCCATCCTGCTGTGCACTGGACTGTTTGTAGGAAATGCTGCCGTCAGAGGGCGGCCTTACACTGAGCCTTTCCAAGAGTGCCATACTCAGGGCTCTCCTGCATGTTGCATGTAAGATATTAAACACACAGAGCATTTCCAAACCTCCAAAGCCTCTTACAAGTGACCTTCAGCTAGTGTGGTTCTGCAAGCAGCTCAGCGCAGGCTAGTAGAAGAATGTGGTTCAAGACAGAGCCCTTTATTTTATGCATGTCAGGTTGTCTTAGGACTGAAGAGTTTGCAATGTCTTCTGTTTCACAAGCAGTGTTCTTTAATGACACGATGTTTGCATTTGTGCACAAAGTGCTTATTAAGCGTCTTGCAAATTCTTTAATAAACTAGTGTGCTGTTAGTTCTTTAAAATTTGTCTTGTAATGTGAAATGCAAATAAATAGAAGAACAAGTGGGCAAACAAATGTCATAGGTTACAGTATTGTACAAAGGCTAGCAAACTGACTGTGATGTGTAAAAACACTTCTTGCCCTTCTGAGCCAGACTCATTATTTTAGCCTGCTGTGTTTTCTTTCATGTGGGCCTTCCTTCATTAGGCTGTCTTCTGGACTACCAAAAAGAAACCAAAATATGGGAAGAGCTGTTGTGCTGGCCCACACTGCAATGCTGCTTAGGCGTACAGAGAAAGGAGCATGGTGACTCAGAAAGGAAAGAGAGAAAGCTCTGTCTCTGCTAGATAGCTTTGTTTCCGAGGACAACAGTGAATGAGTTATCTTGGTCTGCTGCTGCAGAGAATGGTGAACCTTGGGTGTGAGCTATCCTTATGGGAGCATCAGCCATGTAGAGAGACAACAGGCAGAGAGGTTTCAAGTGATAATGGTCCCTCTGTGGAACTGAGATCCCATGGCTTTTCTCTGAAAGCCTGATGAATTGGCAAATTATTTTGCAGCTTATTTCAAATAGCGTTCCCTCCCCAAGGAGAATGGGCAATCCTTTCTAAGAGCATCTGATTTGGTGGCTTGTCCTCCAAAGGGCATTTCTATGGAGTAGGGAGCCTTGCAGAAAAAATTGCAAATGTTTTGGAAAATAATGAAACTATAGTTTGCTAGAAAGTTCTGTGTTAACTAGCAGGTACTTTCTGAGAAGAGTTTGAAATAAGGGGGTGACAGATGTGTTAATCTGGCTTGTTGTGAACTTCATGACTAACACTTTAGTAGGTTAATAGAAAATTGGGGGAAGGAAGATTGATTTGATCATCTGAATTGCTGCTCAGAAAATATTCAGTCTTTTTTGCGTTTCACAGTTTTCTCTTATTTTCCCAGATGTTGTGCTTTTATGTTTTCTTCCATGTTTTGCCAGTTATTCTCCACAGTTCTGTTAAGCGTCTGATTTTCGAAAGAGTAGGGTAGTTGAAATTATATGGTAAATAATACTTGAGGCCTGAAATGCAGTAATACTCTTCGTGTTTTATCCTGGTTTGTACCCAAATGATTGATCTCCCATATTTTCTTCTTCATTCTCAGTTATTTAAAATATGATTGATTGGAAGTCAGTCATGGAATCATAGAATGGCTTGGGTGGGAAGGGACCTCAAGGATCATCAAGTTCCCATCCCTCTGGCACGGGCAGGGTTGCCAGCCTCTAGATCAAGTACTAGATCAAGTTGAAACATTAATGTCATGATAGTGTGATGTCTGTATCTTGCAATTTCATCCTCTTAAACTCAGTAAAAGAAGTTGGGAGCCTTTTTAGTGGAAGTGCAATTCCTGGCATTTTTCAGTGTGCTTTACAGGACTCTGAAAGTCAACAACTGTTAGAACAAGGCACATTTATTCTTGGTAGTGTAACATCATAGATATTATCATAGTTCCTGCAGTAGAGTTGTTCAAAAGTGTATGAACTTGTGGCAGCTGTGTTTCCTTGAGTAATGTCATAAGGCTGCAAGTTCCACACTTCAGCTCATACAGTCTATAAAAAACTCATTTTATCCTTCTTAAAACTTGGTGACCTTTTCATCTCAAATGTGTCTCTCCTCATTTATTAGAAGATATGGGAAGCAGAATTTCCCTTGGCATTTACTCTTTATGATTTGTAGTGTAAATATTCTCTATACATGCTCCTTGTGGTTTCTCATTACACCACTGGAGATACCTCAGGAAACCGAGCAGCTGCCTTAGTGGTTTTAGCCCTACTCAGAGAGCTTGGACCCATGCAAATGTTCATGTGCGCTTACTTGTTTGCGGCCCAGCTCCTGCAGCTGTGACCTTGGACCTTTTTTTCCCCTTCTGCCTGAGAATACTGAAAACATTCTTATGCTTCAATATGATAGGTAAAGAATAAGACCTCTAATCAGATAGAATTAAAATTGCTGGGAAATATAAAACAAATTTCTTAATTCTAAATAAATTATAGTTGTATAAAAATCAAATTGCAGCATTTTAAGGGATTGTTTTTCTCTCTGATGCACGCATACAGAAATTCATCAACAGCAATGGGCACTTTCAAGTGTTTTTATGGGACACTGCAAAACTTAAAGCTATATCCTCAGTTATCTGCAAGTCTTCATTGAAAGGGAATTCCTGACGCTGTTTAGACAGAAAGTATTTCGTTAAAATGTGATGTACTTTGCGGTTTGTGATGATTGGTTTGTCTTCTTGCAGCTACTTCTTTTTATTTCTGTTTGCAGCAGATCGTGAGTTCTTGCATCTGAGTGCATTCAGAATGCAAAGAAGCTGCAGAATGCTGTTTTCTGCTTTGGCTTGGCATTAAGAGTATCTGGTTTTAAAAGGTTCCTTTTTAAGACATTTCCATCTGCCTTAGATTTTTGCATAACTGGAGGAGGACCAGCTTCTTAAACATTCCAATTTCCAACGTTTTCCACTGCTATCAGAGTTCAGCAACCTTTTGAGAACATTATCTTTGCCTTAGTTTGACACCATGATAACCTGGCATAAGCCAGCACTGAGAAGGGCAGCCTGGAACTCCTTTCAGTCTTTCTCCCCATTCCTGGCCCCTTACTTGTGCCCCATTTCCTTACACCAGCACCAGTGTTCGTGCAGCCATGCAGTGAACTGAGTCAGGGAACTGATCTAGCTGAAAAATAACTGAGGTCCCCACGAATGATTAGCCTACAGCCAAATGGTTCCCTGAGCCAGTCTGCCATATGGCTGGATGCGAATCTTAGTGCCAGGACTTGAGCAGCTGAAGCCAAGGGGAACGATCCTGTTTTCAGCAGAGTAAATCTGTGCCAGACTCAGCTGATCATGAAACTGTTTTGTAAGCTGTAATACTGCAGGCTGTGCAGTGACAGACCCCTTGAACCTGCTTGAAACAGCTTGCAGAAGCAGGCAGACAAAAAAGAACCATACAGGCCTTTAATGTTCCCTCTCAAATTCTCCCCTGCTTCATTCTGAGATGATTGCTTCTCTCTGGTCTCCGTCAAGCAGAATACTGAACCCTGCTTTAAGTTAATATTCCCAATAGGTATGTGCCTACATGTAGAGCACTGAAGCAAATTTAGTCCCTGTTTGCACAGCGTTGGCTCTGTGACTAGTGGAGTGTGACAGTGAAGATGCTAATGTTGATAATACGTTGTTAT